AGGCAGGAATACAATACTTACAACTCCTTGAATAAAGGAGAAAATATGGCAGCCCATTCACAGGGCTACAGCCCTTGATCGGGATTCACCCTCTCTAGTAATTCAGTTTAGTTCAACCCCCAGTTTGGGAGTGTGAAAAGGCAACAGATTAACTTTTCCCAAGAACCTACACTAAGCCTGTACTTTACTTCTGCCAGGGCCCCTATGACAGCAGGGTCTTCAAAAAAGTACATGGAAATGGTGCATTACGACAAAATTACGCATGGATTTCAAAAATGTTTGCTCCAAAATAAAGCTCTGTCATCTAGTCCCATTTTAGAGGCACTCTCCCAGGTCACCTTCACCCACTGTGTGTCAGGGTGGGTGGGGAGATGGTGGTGGTGCTGAGACCTAGCCTGGCAGGCCGGGGTCTTGAGAGCAGATTTGACCGCTACCACTGTGTTTTGTTTTTTTTTTTTTTCTTTGACAGGCAGAGTGGACAGTGAGAGAGAGAGAGACAGAGAAAGGTCTTCCTTTGCCGTTGGTTCACCCTCCAATGGCCGGCCACCTCCCGGGCCACAGCAGAGAGCTGGCCTGGAAGAGGGGCAACCGGGACTAGAACCTGGTGTGCCGGCGCCGCAAGGCGGAGGATTAGCCTAGTTAGCCACGGTGCCGGCGAACGTTACCACTGTTCTAAAGGCCTCGACTAACCAGCTGAGCCTCCCAGGGGCCAGGCAGAACCTCCTCTGGCAGCCCCAAGCCCTTTGTGGTAGTCCGGGTGCGGTGGCTGCTGGCCTTAGACTTAGACCTGTTCCTGGGTGGACAGGTGCCTCCTCTTACGTTACCGTGGGGAGGTGAGCTTGTTTATGTGAGTATTCCCCGGGAGACCGAAACCCCTGAGGGTAAGGACTGTATTCTACTGGTAGGACAGGCCCGGAATTCAGCTGGAGCCACACCGGGCGCTCCTTCCCTGAGGGCCCACTGCAACAGGGCCACTCTTAGCCATTTCTTAGTCAATCTGCATGCGTCTGTCTGCCAGCCAAGGCAGGGCGAGTTTTCGGTCGAGGACACCAAGCTCCTAGGTTACCCCGGCACCTGGTAAATGGTAACAAGCGGTGAGACAGTGCCCAGCAGCAAGAAAATCACATTGATTTCCCAATAACCAGGTGACTCCCCCAACAGGGGCTGCTCTCGATCGCACCCTAAAGGTGCAAAAGAAAAGTCCGGTCCCTCAAAGCTCCGGTGACAGCAGCCCACAGCAAACAGCGGGACTTCCGGATCTGGCGGCGAAAGGCGCCATGTCGTTAAGCAGGGCAGGTCCTGGGCCTGACTTGGGGGGCCCACCCACCCTGAAGTTGTTGGTCGGGAGGCCGCAGCGTGGCTGCACCCACCTCTACCCGGGCCATTTCGGCCGCTTGGTTCCGAGGCTTCAGACACAACCAGCGCCGCCATCACTCGCCGGCCCACGTGGGGACCAAAAAGACAGCGCTAGGAGAGCGAGGAGAGCGCAGACATCGCAGTCGATCGCCGATCAGCCAGCGAGGGGCGGGGATTCTCACTGGGCGGTGACCGTGAGGGAGGAGTTATGGGCGGGGCTACAGTCGTATGCCTGTCTGCCCTCTCCAAGGTCCGGACCCTCAGGATCCCCTAGCGATTTCCGACCACCGCAGTAGCCCTCTCCAGGCGATCTCTGCCCCACACCCCTCCCAGACCCGTGCCGAACTTGGCCCTCCTGGAGCATTGCTCCTGTACGTGCACGAGTTGTGCACGCCGAGGCTTGGGGACAGGCACGCCCCCCAAAGCGTCCTCGGCTCCTCTCCTGGTGGGTCCTCGCAGCGCGTGTGGGTGGAGCTGTACTTCCTGCCTCCGAGGACCCCTCTGCACTGGCCGCACAGAACCCTGGCCCACCAGCCGGGCTTGAATCTCTGTGTGGATTCTGGCGTGCCGGGATCCCAGGGCTTCCTTCCCCAGAGGGTGGGGTCTCCATTGCCTTCACCTTCTGGATTCTGGCCCACCTTGGCCCTGCCCAGGCTGCCTTTGGGTCCAGGGAGCCTTTCTCCTGATCAGTGGCCAGAGACCCTGGGACCCCAAAGAGGAAGCAGAGCCTCCAACGAAAGCCTTGACCTTTGGAACAACAAAGTGGCCCGCAGGCCTGGCCTCCAGCTATGTCTGCCAGGGGAGCAGTGTTGCCCAGGGCTGTTTGTCCACCCAGCCCCCGGCATCCTCCTCCTCTCTTTCTGTGGTGGTGCTGTGAGCACAGCTGGCCCTTTAAGGCAGCTCTGTGGCCTCAGGCTCCCCCTGAGGCCCTCCCTGCTTGGAAACCCCTAATTAAGGTGCAGGGAGAAGTGAAAACAAGCAGTCAGGGACTGGCCCTGCCTGGGAGGCTGCCCAGAGAAAAGGCAAGGCTAGGCAGCCTGGGAGTGGGCAGCCGAGGGGAGGATGGGCAGGGGCCAGCACTCTGCCCCCTAGGACCCTGACACTCTGAGAACCCTTGTGGTCTTGGGCCAGAACGTGGTCTTGGGCCAGAACGTGGTCAAGGCAGGTCCTAGGAACAACCCACTCGCCGTGGTAAGAGTCCAGTCCGGCTCCATCAGCCCAGCCCCCGCCCTCTGAGGACAGCAGGCCCAGGGTGTGGGCGACTTTAGCTCTGGCTGCAGAGAACCAGTGGCTTCTGCCCAGCAGGTACCCCTCCCACAGGGCCTTTCTCCCCTCAGCCTTGGGGCCTGTTGATGGTGAAGGCCCCATCCTCTCCTGACCGCCCCGCAGCCCCTGTGCTGAACGTTGGGAAGTCAGGCAACCCCCAGAGAACTGGACATCGACCCAGCCGTGAGGACGCTCGCTCCCCACCGCCCTGCCCTGCAGGGGAGGACACCGGGGGCTGCTGTGGGGGTCTCCCTGCCTGAGTTACTCAGCAGTCTGAGTAATTACTGCCTGACAAGAAGGCGGGCACCGTGCACCCCCACAGGATGCCACAACACCCGCCTACAATCACCCCCACCCCCTGGCTGGACTCCAAGGCAGCACTCAGCCCTCCTGGGGCCTGAAATAACTCTGCTTCTCACACTCACGCCCAGTCCCAACCAACTTTGCCTAAGCCGCTGCAGTTGGGGGATAGGGGTCATGGGGAGGAGGCTTGGGGAGGAGGAGAAGGACTCGCACACCTTTATCACCGACGTGCTGTGTGAAACCTCAGTTTATCTTGGAGGCTCTGTGCAGCCCTCGGCAGCACGGAGGTTAGCTCGGGTACCTGCCTTGCAAGGCTTGACAGGATGTGGGGTCAGTGCAGACTTGCAGCTGGTGGGGGCTAGCAGAAGGAATGCCTCCCCTCTGTCCCCACCCCTACAAGGAACCGGGTCTTATTCGTGGCCAGAAGGAGGCCACATCTCCTCTCTGGGTGCTTGTGCATTCTCTCCTCCCTGGAATGTTCTGGCCCCCTAGCCTAAGGATCTCCGCCCTTAAGGGCACCTCTTCTGTTCCCCAGTGTCATTTACCCCCTTACAGAGGTGCCACATGGTAACCAGTCCTGTTCTAAGATGGTGTAAATAGTTATTAATTAATTATTTATTTATTTAAGAGTCAGAGCTGAAGAGGAGAGCTCTAAGATACTGGGTCACCCCCCCCCCCCCAAGCCTGTAGCAGCCAGGGCTGGGCCAGGTGGAATTCAGGAGCTGGGAACTCAATCTGGATCTCTCGCTTGAGAGGCAAAGAGTACTCTGGGCCGTCATCACCTGCTACCTACCAGGGTGTGCATCTGCAGGAAGCCGGACGGGAAGTGGAGGCGGGACTTGAACCCAGGTGCTCCGGTATGGACTGAGGGCATCCCAAGTAGCGCCTGCACTGCTGCAGCAAACGCCTGCGACGTAGGGTCGTTGGGTCTGTCTTCTCCCATCACACCCCGGTCCTCAGGTCAACCTGGAGCCTCCGGATAGCGAATTCGTGGTGTGTTCTGACTTCCTGTCACGCCCAGTTTCCCTCCAAGGAGGGTGGCAGCCAGGTCTGTGCTTCGTGCAACCTGCTCAGAGCAGTTTCCTTGACCCCTCTACCCAGCTTGTTTCCCTCCAAGCATCCGGACTTCCCTCATTTGATCTCTAGAAAAATGTAAATGCCACCCTTGTCATTGGCTCAGTTTCCAGGAATAGTAGCGCCCCTTCATTGGTGCTGCCTGAGTGACTTTGTTCGCTCCATTTTCCTCCCTCTGGATCCTTCTTATCCCGGGCCAGTAGGGGGTGCCGGCCTCCACCCAGGATCTCGCCCGGCCTGAGCCTTCCCTGCACCCAGCCCACCGGGCCCCCTGCCGGACCCGCTTTCTAAGCCGTGTCTCCTCCATTTTCTCCAGTCTCCGGGGCGGGGTCTGGGTGGGCTGAGGGCGAGAAGAGACCCCCGTGGAGGAGGTGGCTGACTAAATCCCGCAATGGTCCTCCCCTCTCTGGGATTTGCAACTGGGCCTCCCGGAGTGCTCGCGCCCCTCACCTTCCCCCTGGGGCACGGGAGGCGGGGCGGCTGGGTGCGCCGAAGATGCTCCGGGCGGGGAAGAGCCGTCGAGCTTTGGAGGAGGAAGGGGCGCTGGTCGTGGAGATGGGGGCCGGGGTGCACACTTGGGGTTGGGGATGGTTGCCGCCGTCCTCCCGTCCCCGCCGGGTGGCAGGGCGCACGCTTCCAGCAGCCTCTCCCGATGACCTCCAGCCGCGAAGGGCGAGCGGGAGGGGGCTGGGCTGCGGGTGCGGGCTCCGGGAAGCCGGCGGGGCCAGGGAGGGGCGCTCAAGTGGCCCGACGACCGACCAGAGGGGCCCGGGAAGGTACTCGGACGCACGCGGGCAGAGGATCGTCCCCGGGGGCGGGCGCAGCGAAAACACCTTGGGAGGCGGCGCCGCGTGGCTGAGCGCCGCTGCCCTGGGAATAGGACGGCGCTCGGCACCGCGAGCTGAGAGCACTTTCATAAATTTTGTATGGGAGGCGCTCCGTGAGCGGGGGCGGGGAGCGGAGCAGGAGGGAGGGAGCTAGCGAGCGAGGGAGGGAAGGAGGAGGAGGAGAGGTGGGGGAAGCCGGGGTGGGGGGGAGGAAGGGAGGCGCCCTGCTCCGCCGCTCGCTCGGTCCTGCAAACGCGCGCCGGGCGCTTTCCCCGGAGCTCGGCGGTGCGTGCGAGCGCCCTTTTGCAGCAGCCGCTGCCCGAGGGGGCGGAGAGGAGGGGGCCGCGGCCGGCCGGCCAGGGGGCGGCGTCCTCCCTCAAAGCCGCCTGCAAAGTGCTCGGGGCGGCAGAAGCAGGCCTCCGGCGGCGCGGAGCAAAGCGCTCGCCCGGGGGCTGAGCGAGCGCGCGGGGCTGCCCGTCAGCGCCGCGGTTGCTGGCGGGCGCCGGTGTCCTCGGCGCGGGGCTTGGGCTCACCATGCCCCTGCGGGGCCGGGCCGCCGGGCACAAGCAGATCCCGGGATTGCCCCCGCCTCGACGCGCTCGGATTAGCTGCAGCTGGCGCCCAGGGATTTGAATCCGGACCTCGAAAGGAAGCGCGCCTAGGCCGACCTCGGAGCGGCGGCCCCGCGGCCAACATGCTTCGAAAAGGTGAGTTGGAGCCGCAGGGGCAAGTTGGAGTTGGATGCGCACGGGACAGAGCCACGAGCCCGGGAGCCGCCCGGCGCCAGGGCTCTGGCTCCGGGAAGCGGCCTCTGGCGGGCAGGCGGGCTTTGCCGGACGCACCCACCAAGAGCTTTGCCGCCCGAGCTCAGCTCCCGTCGGCGGCCGGTTGCGAAACGCGGGGTTTGCTCCGTGGATCAAGTGGCCAGGCCTAGGGATATGCCTCGGAGAGGGGTCAGTCTGAGACAGAGTGAGCGGCCCGTGGCGAAAGGGGAGCCGGTCTCCTGGGACCTTTGCTTTGCCATTATAAAGTTTTGCACTTCCAGGCTCCGTTCCCTGCGCGGGCACCCGCTCCTGCCTCTGCCGCTTCGGCGAGGCCGGTTCCCAACCAGTGCAGACGGCGGCCGGTCACCGCGCTGCCCCGGCGCTCTGCGCGCGCCCTGGCTCCACACGCGCGGCACGGACGCGGGCGCTTTCCCTGCAGCCCAGCCTCATACTCAGGGATGGCTTCCGGGCACTTCGCGGCCGAGGGTGGGGAGCTGCAAGCGCGTGATGGCCGGACGCTCAAACTTTCCTTGTGGCTGGGGCAGAGGGACGCGAAAGCGGAGGCCGCGCCGGCAAGTATGTGCCGCCGGTGCCAGGCTCAACTTAAGGACAGCTGGCTGCGCGACCACCTCAGCCGGGTACTCAGGCAGCGGGTCCCCGGAACAGAGCGCGGCAAAGTTGGCGCTGGCTCCTGGAAGTCCCGCCGCGCACCCACGTGGTGGCCGCGCGGGGCGCCGTCCCTCGGGGTCCAGGGAGGGCAGCTGACCAGCCTTGAACCCGCGTGCTCGGCACCCGCCACCCGCTGCTCAGGTCTCTGCGTCTGCTTCGGCCCCCATCCTGAGTCCCACGGGCTGTGGCGCCCCGCAGGGACCCCCACCCCGGTCCCTGGCCTCGGTCGGGCGGCGGAGGCGCCGCGGCTCCTGCGGCTGGCGGCCCCAGCCCTGCGGGAGCTGGCTGAGGCGGGAGCTCAGGTATTGGAGGGGCCTGATCCCTGCGCACCGCGCTCCAGCCTTAATCCGCCCCTGTTTCCATGGCAACAGACCGAGGTGTCGTAAGCACAGCATTCTGACCTCACAGCAGGATGGGGAAGGAGAAAACGGGCAGGGGGAGGTGGCGGAGGTGGGGAGCGGGGAGCGAAGCCCCAGGGTGGGCCGGGAGAAGCAGATGTGGGGGTGATGAGCGAGACCCACCCAGATAAGCAGGTCAGACGTGGGGAGTGAAGAAGCCTTCGGTGGAGGCAGCAAAGGCTGAGTGGTGGTCGCAGATGGGCCGAGAGAGGAGGCTGGGTTGTCCCGCGGTGTGGGCACAGTCGCAAACTTGTGTGTGACTTGTGTCCTCCACGTGGCTGGGTGCAGCTGCTGCCTTCTGCTGTGGTGTGGGAAAAGTCTGCTCCAGGGATGCGCCCCGCTTCCTGGTTCCTGCAGAAAGGGAGAGAAGTCCTTTCAGCCGGAGAAGGTGCCTGCTGCCTGCGGAGCTGAGCACAGGCCTTGGTCTGGGGAGCACAGGCCTGGAGTGTGCAGACTCGCCCCAGAGGGAGAGGCTTCCCAGGCAGTTTTAGGAGGCCGCGGTGTCTGGGCTGCTGGTCTGTGATGGAGATGATGGAGAGGAACTGGCACCTGATCTCCCTTTTGGTCTTTGGGCGATTTACAGTTAAAAAGGAGCCTGGGAACGGCCCACACGGGCTGTTTACATGGCTTAGGTGCCCAGGCAGCCTCCTGGAGCCTCCCTCCCATCCCCACCATCCCCAGGCCCCACTCTGGGTGAGCCCGGTGCATTCTGGGGCCTGCTCCCTTGGGGGAGGCTCCTTACCCTGCCCAAGAGGTGGCCGCTGGAGGCCTGGTGGTCACGTGTGCGTGTACCACGCGGGCTGTTTTTCCCTTCCTGCTCTGCCTGGGTGGCAGGAGAGGTTCCACCAACAAAGAGGTTTGCACCTGCTTTGGCCTGAGGAGAGCAGCGCAGAGAAGCCCTCTGCTGGGCTGGGCTCGGCTTGGGTGGCCTGGAGCCCTGCTGCTGGGGTGTTGTAAGGGCAAATGAATTCTGTTTGCGTCCCCTGCTGGGCATTTTTCTCCCTGGTCCTGATGCCTTGGATTTGTCTCTGCGGCACACACACAGTGGACGCTCAGATTCTCCGTGTGGATTCTAGGTGTATGCCCAAAGCCAAGACTGTGCCTGAGGCTGATGCCAACAGGGGCGCCATTGAAGTGTCTGCTTCTAGACTCATTCTGGAGGACTGCAAAAATGCTGTAGGATGGGCTCCGGTCGCTGCTGCAGAGCCTGCCCGAGGCCCTGGACCTGAGGAAGTTGAATGCTCTACTTATGATCCAAAAAAGGATTTGAAGGATAATCCTGGGGAAAGGAGGAGGAGAAAAATACTTTTGGTTTTCTGCAAAGGGTGGGGCTTGTGGTACCCTGTGGAGTTAGGGGGCTCCATGGTAGGAGGCCCCCAGAGGAGGCCTAGGACCATGAGAACCATCACTGATTCCTGGTGTCCTATTAAAACTGTCCCCTGGCAGGACCTTTTAGGGGGTTGAGGGCCTTGCATTTCTTGATGAGCGGATTCTGCTGGCCACAGCCCACCTCTGTGAACAGGAACAGCCCAATGGGGCCTACTGCCGACGGGGCTGGGGGCTGGGGGCTGGGGGCTGAAGGCTTTGGTGGCTTCTCTGCCTGCTTTCCCATCTCCTCGCCTGCCCTGGCAAAACCTGGGATGGAGAAAGCAGGCGTCTGGTCAAGAGACGGCGGGCAGGCAGGCAGGCAGGGCAGCTGAGGCCCCCGCCAACCAGCGGTGTCCAGGAAGGAAGGGCAGCCTGCTGGGGGTTTCTGCTTTGCCAGAAGCAGCCTGCTGAAGTTGGGGATCTATGGTTTTCATTTTTAGAGTTATAAAAACAGAATGCAAATCAAGAGCCTCTGGGCTAATACAGAGCCTTTCCTTAAACTTTTTGTCTTGTTAAGCGAGGAAATAGAGTGCCAAATAGGCTTTGTTAAGTGGCAGTCTAATTAATAATTTAAAATCTTGTAGCTGTCTTTCATTAGAATTTATCTGTACATCAACCACAAAATCAGTCAAACACAGTCATTTATAAGTTAATGCCATCCTTGAATAATTCACAAAGAGCTAGATTAAGGCCTGCAACCCAGTAAGATGCATTTTGTTCTTGGTTCCCATAGCCAGATGGGTTGGCTTGGTGGCAGAGTTGGCCTTCCCCTATGTGGGAAGAATGGCATTGTCAAGTGGCTGGTGGATTTGAATTCGGAGCTTCCCCAGGTGACCAGGGGGCCTCCTCGTGGGCAGGTGGGAGTGGGCTCCATCTCTGCTTCTCTTGGGAGGCAACAGGATTTGGAGCTACTGGTAAGAGGGCCCTTCTTGGCCCCAACAGTGAGAGAGAGGGAAGAATGGTCTGTGGACCCAAGGTGCGGTTTTTTGCTGCAGAGAAAGTGTGGCTTTTGAGCCCAAAGTCAAGTGCAGACATGGAATTTCAGATTTCCCAGCCCACTTCTGTCCAGATCAGGGAGTCAGCCTGGTGGAACCAATCTGGCCCAGCCAGCTTCTTTCATTAGAAGCTTCTGGGCAGCTTCTCTCCTCAGCTCCTGTCCTATGCCAGGAAAGAGAAGCCAAGAGGAGGAATTTTAGGAGGGCACCAGGACGCCTCGACAGAGAGGCATTGAGTTGCTAAGTGAAGCTCATGCGTGCGCTTGCTCATCAGTGGCTAGGATAAAAGGGAGAACAGCAGTGCAACGTGCCCCCGTGAAGACGGACAACATGGACAATATGCTTGGCCCTGTCATGCCAACACAGAGCCAAGTCCTTACTGTGGAGTCTTGAGTTCTGTTTTCCAAAGGAAGCTGTCCAGGACCCACACTCCCAGCATGGGACATGAGTCCCCCCGTGGCAGGAAGGAACCCTGGAGTTTCTGGTCTCTGCCTGGGCTCACCAGCCCCGAGCGAGCCCCCTGGAGGTTACACAGCGTGGCTCCGGGAGACCAGGTAGGGACCGGGAGCAGGCACGCACTTGATGCGGGTGAGGTGTTTGGCCATGTTGGGAAAGGGAAAGAGAAAAGCCTGCTGACCCATGGTAGATGGGCCCCAGGAAGGGCAGCCTTGTGGGGTGACTCAACTCCAAGTTCTGGCTGTGTCTTCAGGGCCTGGAAAAGGACAGAGCAGTTCACTTGCTGGGGAAGAGGGGAGGAGGGGCAGGTATCATGAAGGATGTCAAGAACGGATCTGCTTGGTACCATCTGCAGTGAAGTAGCGGGTAAGGTTAAAGCAGAGAGGAGATGACAGCAAGGGAACAGATGGCCGAGGAAGCAAAATAGCTGGCGAAACGGGAACGGAGCCTCCAGGGACAGCAGAAGGCAGGACCTCCGTGCACAGTGCCGGGAGCAGCCCTTGCCTGGGGTTCCGTGGCCAGACCACCCCTGGCAGAAGTAAGTCAGAGAGAGGAGTCAGGCTGTGTGGCCTCAGCAGAGGGGTCTCCCCAAAGGCCAGGAAGGAGACCCGGGAAGCCGTCAACTTCAAGGCTAGGGTCCCTGGAGCACGGATCACCTAGGATAGCGGTGAACTGGGGAGAGGAGGAACAGCTGACTTGCTGCCCATCACCGGAGTGAGGCGAAGCCACCTTGAGTCTCACAGAGCATGCCTGGCTCGGCTGCTGGGAGGAGACGCAGTGCTAAGTGAAAACAGGCAGCAGGGAATGCATTGCTCTTCCCAGCCTGCCCTGGGACCACTTGCTCCAATCTCTGGCCCCGTGCTGACGATAGCTGCTCGTATTTGCTGAACAGGTGCCACAGGTCAGCAGGCTTCTCTTTCCCTTTCCCTAATGAGACTTCCTCTTACCCAACATGGCCAAGAACCTCACCTGCATCAAGTGCGTGCCTGCTCCAGGTCCCTACCTGGTCTCCCGGAGCCACGCTGTGTAACCTCCAGGGGGCTCGCTCGCTCAGGGC